TGATGATATTGATTTATAGTAGAAACACAATTATATGAAAATTTTTCTGATATAAAACATTATTCAAATTAGTTATGTTAAAGTAAAAAAAAGTTTTAACAAACAATGTCTTCTTCAAAAATTGTTCTACAGACAACTATCTCAAAATTTTCTTCACCTCTTTCATACGATATGAAATTTAAAAACAATATGTTTTTCTTATGCAAAAAAACCTAGTAATAATTGGAAGAGATCTATTAAAATACCTTCTTCTGCAAAGAAAGACAATAAAAGGAACTTTATCCAAAAATATAAATTGTTGATAATTTATTCAAATTTTCTAACTAGATTGTTTTCTACTATTTGTGAATAGATCATTCAATACTTGATTGATTGTATATCTTAGTTCATCTTGTAAGATTTCGAATTCTTTTGCTAAATTTAATATTTGACGGAATTCAATTCTAGATCAGTTACATTATAGTAAGGATAAGAACCTAAATATAGGCATAAATCAATATAGAATGCTAAACTAGAACAAGCAGTCAATAATCTAATTTGAAAAATTTCGTTAATATATCAGCATATTCTATTATGATATGCAATAAAAACTGCTATTATCAGTGTCTCTTATTGTACTCTTTATATCTATACTAACATAAGTTCTTTCGAATTATCGACTGGATATGTAATATATAAAAAGAAAAGGATTAACAATAATATTGTTATTAGTTGTATGGATGAGTGATTTCAAAATGAAACTTGTTGTATTTATTGGTATGTTTCCGTGAATGCAATATACTGTTTTCGTCTTCAGAATCCGACAAATATAGAACAAGACAAAGAACGATGAAACAAAAGAAATGTTATTGTAATGGAAAAACAAATATCCTAATGGTAATGAAAGAAAGAAATGTCTATCATGTTATTCAAGATAAATAAATCGTAGTACATGTTCTTTGCTCTTAAGATTACTAATTTAGATATTTGTTTTTTTTTTAATTTTCGAATCAATTCTTATTTTTATTTTGAAAAAAAAACAACCACTTTAGGTTTTAGACAAATTTTAATTGTATTAATTCTTAATTGAAATTGCTCGAAATTCCTTTGAATAAGAAAAATTCATATTTAATTTTGATTTTAATTGAAATATTTTTTTTTGTTTTGTATAAACAATTGACGTATATGATAAGATGATATTGACAAAGAGATATATTGGAATTATCTTTAAAATTGTTATTTAAATCTTTTAATAGATTAAACATAGAATAAGAACTAAAACAGTATTAATTAGTATGAATATCTCATGCATTAATCAAACATGATTATTATTTGATAAGGACTTCTTTAAAGTTTTGATATATAAATATGTAACTATAGAATAGTTTCCAGTGAGTCAAGATTAACTGATTATTTTTCAAGAATTCTTATTGGTTGAATATTAATGAACATAACTCATCAAATATCTTATTACAATAATAATATTTTTACAAGAGTTCAATAAGATTATCATTATTAATGAGATATTATTTTGAATATTTCATATTTTGATATATTTTTCGAATATTATATAAATATTATCAGGTTGTAAAGAACAGATAGAATGATTGGAGTAAGAAAATACTTCATTGACATTGGAAACTGTTTATTATATTGAAGAACATACTGAATGAGAAGAGAAGAAATATTTATGTCAACGTAATACGATATATAAGAATAACTGCCCACATTGTCAAGAATATATTTAGGAGGTAAAAAAAAAAGAATATCTATTTTTTTGAGTTTGAGATATGATAGATCGTTAAAGGAGGGAAAGGCATCTGATCAATAATATAATTAGTTAGCTAACATTCTGGAATAATATTCTGTTAAAAGAAAAACAACAGTTGTCTTCAACACACAATTGTTTATTATTATTATCCTTGTTGCATCTCTAGTGTTCGCTTTAATCGGTATAACAACTAATTATTGGTATCAAAGTTTATCTAATGAATTTAATGAGGGTTTATGGATTATTTGCCGTCGTCAACCATTTTTATCACATTCTTCATTGAACACAGATATTTGTGATAAACAAACGTATTTTAAATCACAAGGTTTTGCTAGATCTGGTTTTGTTATATTATCTATTGCACTTATTTTATCAATCATAAGACGATACAGAAAAAATGATCGAATTTTAGTTTATTCAACAATTCTAATGCTTATTATTAGTATAATTCTATTTCTTTGTAGTTATTTATTTCATCCAACAAATTTTAATAGAAATCAATTTGGCTATTCGATTTATTTTATATTAGGTAGTAATATATTAAGTTTGATTACGATGATATTACTTATTTTTGGTGTAGTAATAATTCAATCATCATAGAAATTCATTTTTTTCAAACAATACTTTTGTTTTTTCATGTTAAATAAAAACCTAAATGAGTATGTAACAAATTTACTAAAACAACATTGAATAATGGGATCATCAATTATATGCCATTAGACAATAGAATATCAGTCGAGTCTGTTCTTGACCACAAAATTTTTATTGCTGATTAAGATACTCCAATGATTTATTTATTATTTCTCAGAGATTTTTTTCTAAGATGTCGACTATTATTCTTCATTGGTTACATTTGAATATCTTTTCGATCGAAAATAGTCCTTTGCTCTCAAATTCTTGACTACGTTACTAACATTGAACTTGACAACAATATGATATATATCGACTATTGATTCTTTTTGAGGATATTGAAAAAAATCTCGAAATATTTTGATGTTCAAGTAAATAAATATGGTTGATTCTTTTTTTTTAATTAAAATATAAATTATTTTTCATTCATTGAAATTCGAAGCGCGAAACAACTACAATCGTTGTTTAAAATAATGAATCTATCAACATACGTTTCAATTTATGAATTACATTCTACTGGAAATGCTTGTTGATAAAAAAATTGTTCATCAAAATATGTTTCAAACTCTATGAAGGAAGAACTAAGAGAAGCCATTTAAAACTCAGCCGTGTCTCATACCAATTCTGCATTAGATTTAGTTTGACAGATATCCTCGCAATTGTCCACAAGGACGGAAAGAAATAGTAAATTATGGTTTTGTGGTTTGACTTCTGTCATGAATTGGAATTTCTATCCCTACACTTCAATATAAAGTTAACATACTTTTAGGTTTATAATAGTGCGCTTTGCCATGATTTTCCAGTAAAAAATTACGTTTTTTAATACTATTCTCAATTCAAATATTCTTGATAGGATCGTTTGTCTTTATTTTATTGATTCTTCTATCGGCATATTTTGATTCTAATTGAGTGACTTATTATAAAGGGACAATATATCAAAATGATCTGTGAAAGTTTTGTATTTTAGATACTGCAGATGTTATGATGGCGAACATAGTGAATATGTTAAATCCATGTTCTTAATAATTCTTGTATAAATGTTTAATATTATAAAACTAATTTTTATTTATTCGATAAATACTGTGTTCGTCGAGAACGAGCGAATCTACGACTAGACTAAGTACATCACTGAAATACATTAATTTGTTGTCGTTTTCATTGTAAATGACGAAGATTTTTTCAAAAGTTGTTATTTAATTGAAAGGAGAGCATATGCAATAATTAAAACAAAACTCAATGTAAATGATTTGGATGAAATGAATCATCATCGTTATCTATGGCATCTTGTTATTAGGATCAATATGCATACAGTGATATAACAACTAGTATTTGTAAAGCAACTATAAATGTATAAGAAATCTCACACTAATTTACAATCGTGCTAGATTTATCGATCTTACGATAATTGACAATAACTTCGAAACTTGCATGATATTAAGCAACTAAACTACAAGAATTGAACTTAATACAGAGATTTAGCTTTGTTTGATTTTTATATTCAAAGCCGTTCAATATATGAATGACTCATAGTTGATCATATGAAATATTTAACATGAATTTAAATAAATTGTGTATAGTTTTTAAAGCGTTGAATGTTAGAATACTCATGAATAAATAAATTTTTCTATGATTATAATCAAATATATTTTGTTTAATGACGAAAAATTGAATATTTCAGCTTAGTATAAAATACGAGTAATGTAGTCTAATATAGAATCAATGATATTGCAAGGTTCTTTTTTCATAAAAACTATTGAATAGAAAATGTTCTGTGTTGTCCTTGACCTTGTCATGGGAGACTCATTTTAACCTGAAGGTAACAAATGTTTTTTTTTCGTTTTTTTCAGTCTTTTATCTGAAAAAAAAAAAGAAAATCATTGATTTCATGTGTTGTTAAATATACAGAGAAAATCCTATGGAACAAAAAATTCCTTTAACTTTAACATCAGAAAATTCATATAATCATCCAATTCATTCTTCAAAAAGTGAAACATCATATAAATGGGTTCGTTACATTGTTGGCTATGTTACAATAACATCAATATTTGGTTTAATAGTTTTTCTAATAATGTTAGGTATTCCAATAAGTATGCTTGTTATTGGTATTCGTTATTGTAGACCATATTATTGTCCAATTGAACCTCGTATAAGTCTATTTTTAATTGTTGCTGGATCTGCTTTCATTGGATCGATTATTCTGATAATTCTTTTGTCATTATTAACAATATTTATTTCTTATAAAAGTTCAATAATGACAATGATTAGTTT